CCTTATATGGCTTAATGTTCCCACCCACCCACATCATGTTTTAGTGTGTCATTTCTATTTACTTTCTACTCCACCAATGAATGTCTCTTTCATTGTCTACTTTCCATTTTACTCCAGAGATGCCTCTTATACCAATAAAAATTAAAGCTAGTCATTTTTATTTCTAAATTTGGGGTTCAGACTTCAAATGCTGAGATGGAGGTGTACACACAAGACATACACATATGAAATATCACTGTATTGCTGATAGTCAAGATAAGTGCTGCATTATTTAATGGTTACTCCAAAAGCTAGAAACAAACCTTAACTTGGAAAATGTTTATTTACAAGGTATTAACTCTATGATATTAATTTCATGTGTGGATCTTCTCATTCTAAAACAAGAGGAACTTACAAAACACTTTATTTCCAAAAGGGGGGGGGGGGGGGGGGGGAGGGGTATGTGTGTATATATAGATATAGATATAGATATAGATATAGATATAGATATAGATATAGATAGATATAGATATAGATATATACATATGTGACCCTAATCAGAAGACTGCACTGCAAACAACTTTTCAGAAACCTCTCTTCAGCTAAATTCTTATTTTTCTTAGGTCATAAATATTCAATGATAGCTGGTTTTACTTTTCTCTAAGAATTTATACAAATTGAACACAATGTTGATAATTTCATATAACTCTTTACTGACTCTAAAATGGACTGCTGCGTACTTGCAAAAATTAAATATGTTTATCTTTTCCTAATTCAATTTCTGCAATATTAACTTATATTGAATCTTCTAACTGAATGGGCATCCCAAATTGACGAACGCTGAGGGTGGATAGGGAGAGGGAACCCCAGGGCAAGAGGCCTTTCCTTTTACCCCTTGCTCTGAGGTGGAACGTGCCCTCCCCCTGGCCCACCAGAGAGACCACCGGCGCCAGCAGCCAGGCAGGAGAGAAGCAGGCAGAGAGGATTCTATTGTTCTGGTATCAGCTTAAATACCTTTGGAGGGAAATCACAAATTGACCAGTGGGAGTTCAAGAGGTCTTACAAACAATCAATGATAACAAAGGATTAACAACCAATAGGTAAGCTCTCAGTTATCTCTTAGACATTCCAAAGATACAGTGAGGGATCTTGGGAACAAGAAGGGTTACACAAAGAGTTACAATCACCATTTTTAGAAGCATGCTCACTTTAAACAATCATTGCAACTTCAGCATACTTTTACATACTGCAAGCATACTGCAACACCAAATGCAAATTACAAATGCAATGGTGAACTGGTCAAACTGAAACTGACCATATACAACAGTGAAGTGGTGGGCAAATGAAATAGAAGTGTACATGTGGCACTTGAGGATGTGGTTTACTGGGGGACTTGGTAGAGTTGGGTTAATCATTGGACTAGATGACTTTTGAGGTCTTTTCCAGCCTAAACAATTCTATGATTTCAAACTGTCTTCCAGAAGCTCATTAAAATATAAAATTATATATGTACTTCATTGGCTTCTGGTTCCTCATATGTGCTATTATCATGTTCTACTTGTGCAGACATATAGACAGACAGACAGACAGAAAGAAAGATCTATACCTTTTTTTCAGTCCAGAAATTATAGTCCACTCTTAGTCAACAAGTGAACATGGAATCACAAGACAATACTACATCTTTTTTTCTCTCCATAAGAACAATATATAAAAGGAGAAGCAATATGTATGTCAAATCAAATGTTCATACAACTCAATATCCTATCTCTGGCAACTGTGAATAACGATACCTAAGGAACAGTATAAAATAAAGCACATAACGGTAATGCCATAATAAACTCTCCTTTACACGCAGAAAACTTCAACACAGAGCTGGTCTAATGTCTCCTTTTCAGGTTGAAATATACTGGCATAGAAAGTCACTCTTCATTTAAGAAGTCATCACACGCCTTTCATGAGTCACGTCTTCTTAATTTTTTCTAATTATTGTCTAATTCTACTATATGGTTTTTCAGGACTAGAACCCTAGAAGTGTACCAAATCTCAAGGACAAAGACAGAGCAGAGGTTTGTACAATGCCATAATGATGTTTGCTTTGTTCGCTATTCCTTTCCAGCAATTCTTTTCATTTTATTTGCCGCTTTTGTGCACTGTTGAATCATTGGGTATTTCTAAGCACTGAGCTGACTTTATCATAGAATGATCTATTATAATTCCAAGATTTCTATCTTCAGTGGAAATAACTATTCGGAACCCATCATTATGTATGCAAAGTTAGTTTTTTCTCCCAGTGTTCATCACTATCAACACTGGATTTCATCTGGCACTTTATCACATGAAATCTTTTGCAGCTCTCATCAGTTAATTTCCATTTTCACTTCACTGAATAGATTGGTATTAGCACACTTTATCACCTCCTTATTCACCTCTTTTTCCAGAAGATTTATGAACATCTTGAACAGACAGGCTTAGCATAGATTCTTCTGGACTCTACCAATGATCTTCTACTACAGGCAAAAATATTTTTTTTTCCTAACATTTAACCATTTATTAGTCTGAGAGAAGGCACTCCCTCATGTCTCATTGCAGCTTAATTTGTCACTAGCTTGATGTACTATCTTCCTAGAAACCTCTCTTCAGAATGCAACTGAGAAATAATTTGCAAATATTTTGTTACTTTGATGAAAGCAAATTTATTTGTGATTTTGAATTTAATTTTCTGATTTTTGAACAAATTAATTTTCCATTAAAATACATATGCTGATGATAATTTTCATTTCTGTTTTTTTGTTTGTTTGTTTGTTTGCTCCCTCAGAAAGAGCTTCTGTTACAGTCTTGTGCATTGAGGCACAATGGTCTTCATCTGGCAAAGATCTTTAAGTATAAAAGTAGTTGTATTCAATTAAGAATTTCAAAAAGTACTTCACACAAATAACTCTTTTCCTGAGTTAGGAAAAGCAGTGAGGTAATCAAAACATGAGGTTTGCTTACATGACAGTGGATACAAGTTATCACTGCTTTAAGTTTCTACACATTGAAATAACAATAGTTTATACAATATCATTATTTGTAAGTCATTGGCTACTGAGATGCTAGGTCATAGTTCAGAAGACCTTTTAAACTCTGCCAAAGACAAAGGCATGGCATGGTCAGTTTCCAGGACATCTAGAAGTACCAAACTAAGACCAAAGAACATAGAACAGCTTACAAGCTTTATCTTTAGCTAAGTTAGTTAAGTTCTAAAACCAGCAATACTCCTGGCACTGGCCTCTGTAATAGGAAATATATCAGGACTCCTTTTCCCAGGATACTGCTGTGAGCTGCAGCTTACTGGAGAAAGTGCCAAATCAGCAGAGGATCACAGGATTCCAGTACCAGCAGAAATCCAAATAATCAAAAGGTATCACTAAGAGGTAAGGCACCTTCATTACACAAGAATCCAAGAGGATTCTGGAAGTGTAAAAGGATTGTGTATTCATATAGCAGAGCAGCTCAGCGAAAGAGTGACAGACAGCAATTACTCACCCCTGGATTCATACTATTATAGCCCCAACTTTTCATGCATGGTGGATGCTGTTAGAAGTCAAATCTGCTTAAGTTTAAACATACCTATTATCTGCTAAAAATGGCAATTGTTCTATAGAGGAAATCTGTCATGAACTATTATTGGTTCAGGGGTCACTTAGCTGTTCATTAACCTTGGAAAACATATCATATATAGGTCTCTCTCTTCCATGCCCCACAATGCCATGTCTACTTCTTACTTTACATAGTTTTAACTAGCTCTCTAGAATGAGAATATCACTTCTTCTTCAACACCCATCCAAAAGACTATATATCACCTATCTCAACACCTCAGTTTCTCAAAGTAGTGACACTCTTTCTTTCTTCTTGTTCAAAATGAGGTGAAGTAAATCTTAATAACAAATAAATTGTTTCTGAAATGTAAGAAAATGTACCATTAGTAATCTACTAAAAATTTTGAAGCACAGGTCAATGTTAGTTTCTATTACTTACTTTCAGGTTGTATAATGCTGATCTTACTTTAATTCAGCACAATTTTTATATGAGTATGCTGGCACAATATGAACAGAGATACCACAGCACTAAAGGATTTATATCAAGAGATTTAGGAAAACTTTCTATGACCATTAATCTTCCAGAGTTTTTCAAACTTGTTTTGTATTAGCCAGATGATCTTGCAATTTTATATTTACCACTTCAAGAGTGCCAATGCAGATATCAAACATGGATGATTTGTGAATGTTATACTTCTTTGTGCTTTTACTTTTCAGATGAGCAGCTGAAGAAGCCTGGAAATTTTATTAACAAGATTTAAATCTGATTTGTAAAATTGGACACATAGATTTCTCTACTTCAGTCACTGAAATACCATAAAGGAAAGATGAATTGGAAGTACAACTTTATGTCTCTGCTTGGTCACAGCCTTTATAGTCCTAATCAATAAACAAATAGAGCTCAGTCAGCTTCCTCTCTTGCACTCTTCATGATGAGGCAAATATGTAACTTCAGCAATTCCTACAAGACAGTTCCTTCACTGTGAATTCAGGAGTTTTGGTAATAGAAGTTATTCTGTAGTGCTTGAATCACTGCAGGGCAAACTAACCCTGTCACTCAGTCCAGAACAGATAGTCTTTTCAACTACAAAAGAAAGCTGGAAGACCTATTCTGTTTAATTACATCAGTGTCCAAGCTTCCCTTTGCTGTCTTAGGGATGTGCCTTCTTTGCTGCTTTCAGACTACAGGAATTAGGTACACATTGTCTAAAATAGAAACTAAACTCCTCAAACCACACTTACCTTAACTGCTCAGTTTTCTCAATATAGAAATGAAACATGCACCCCAGAGTACTTTAGTTCAGAATAAAAAAGGTAGCAATTCACATGACTAATGTTCAAAATTATGTAGATAATAGAAACTGAGGGTGTACACTCAAAAAAAAATGAAGGAGGAAAATACTTTTAATGACATGGAACAGAACAGAGAGGAGATTTAATTACATTATGTTGTCTTGTTTTCCAAAAGAGCTGTAACAAAGTAAGCCAGAACCCCAGACATGGCACCTGAACTCCCAGTATCTGGATGGTTTTAAGATCAGAAAAACAAATAAGGAATGAAAAGAGAACCCCTCAAATACTTCAGAAACAAGGCTAGACTACACTGAAGCACAGAGAGGCAAGATGGGTGGAGACAGGTTTCGGGGATGAGGAAGCAAAAGGAGACAATGTAGCAATGAAAATTCAAAAAGTTTTGTCACGAATTGAAGGAAACTGCATGACTACAGTTCAGTCTTCTGCTTTGTGCCAGCACTGCTTTCAGGTCCTGCATAGCTGAATGGAGGGAACTCCCCAAATTGTAATCAGTAACCTGTGTAGACACCTCCAAACAACACCCCCCAGCATCAGTAACCATCCAACTTAAACGTATTTTGGATGTTCACTTTTTCCAGGGGCAGTCAAACACGGAGCCTATGGCAACTCCTTGCTGTTAGCTGAAAGTCTTCAGCCCTGTAAACTCTATTCTGTCTCTGAGTGTTCGACTGCTAGTTTCAAACTTTTTAGTAGATATTTGTTGTTTAAGTGTTAATTCTCTTGTCAATTTTTTTTCTCCCTATTCTAATGCATTAAAACTTTTAAAGGTACATGAAATCTTCATTGCTTTTTTCATTGAATATTTATAAGTAACGTATGAGAAATTATAGCAAACATTCTAAAAATAAACAAAGTTTTAAATGGGAACATGGGTTCTTATCCCAAACTGTGCAACATGTTATGATCATCTTTGGTTCTTTCTCGAGTCCTCTAAAGGGTAAAGAGAATAGTATGAATATAACCAAGTATCAGCTATGCCACTTCTCATTCTAGCATCATATTCTAACTTAAATATTGCAGTGAAAACTGAACAACTTCACAGAATCATAGAATTCTTTAGATTAGAAAGACCTTTAAGATCATCAAGTCCAGTTGCAGAATGGACAAATCTCAATGCACTTGATCAGGAGTAAATTATTGTATAACATTTAAAAAGTGGTAAGATTCAATCAGACAAGACTTACATTGGGTTAAAAACTATGTAGATATAATTAATCCTTTTAAAAGAGAAAGGTAATGTGACAATTCTTACTTACTTGTAGATCAATATATCAAATGGCTAAAAGGACTAAGGAAACACTTGTTTTCCTGGAATAGCTTTTAAAAGTTCACATGAAAAACAAGATTCAAATTTTATATTTAATTACATTTTCATCATACAGATTTGAATTGGTGATTTAGGGAGAAAATCCTTTACGCTTTAAATTATCACACATTGCATAACAGCAGAGGAAGAAACAACTTTATAAATTCCCATTTATGAAAAACAAAAAAAATTATTTTGTGCATTCTTTAAGAATTTTTGGGGTTAATTCTACCTGAAAGTACACACTAATACTTGACACAGGTTTATATCTGTCAAGCCATGGAATATTTTCTTCAGTTAATTTCAAGATGTAATTTTAAAAGTAGTAATGATTTTCGTAGTTAATTTTGCTGTCACTCTGCAGACTCCATTTTATTTATGACCTAGTCTTGACTGTGTTAATATTGGGAATAAGACTCATAGGCAATAAAAGGAAATAAAATCAAGATTCGGCTTTGTAGCACGTTGTAATCACGTTTAGGTGACATCAAGGAAAGGCATCTGGTGATTATGTAAGACAACCGCATCTATGTATATGTGTTGTAAGTTTAGGATATAGTTCATGAAGCACTCATGAACTAATTCTTGAATTTTTCAATAATTTGAACTATAAATGAAATAAATTGTACTTTTTTTTTTTTTTTAATCATCTTATTTTTTTCAAAATAGGAATCCAAAATATGTCTGATGACATATCCCTGGAGACTGCAATTTTGCATCAGTATCTCACTGTCCACTTGTAAATCTTGGAAAGTCTCCAAAAACTGTTTCTCAAAGTGCAGTAAGGTTTTCTCTGTACTGTCAGATATTTTGCAGCAAACATCAGACAGTCATAATTCCAAGAAATATTGTTCAGCAAACTCTGCCTTGTCAAGAGACAGCATTACTTCCCTTACAGTCTCCAAAGTGCACAGTTGCTCAGGATACAAGTAGCAGCTAAACAACTCTCTTCCTCAATCCAATTGTGTAACAAGAAAACCTCTCATTAGTATATTGAAATGTCAAATAAGTCTCCCAGTATGGCAGCAATAATCATCAAACCACTCAGTCTTCTGCTGTGATCAGCTGGATTTTGCAGCTCAATGGAAATTTTTTTCTTTCTGTTAACAAACTCAGATGTCATGGGCAGGAACAACAATAAATATTAATTTTATCAGCATCTACTGCAATTCTGCAATCCCACATTCTCAAATCTACAAATTTCTGAGCCTGAATACTGGGTTCTCTATCAGCATACATATATCCATTCAAAGAGCTTAAATAGTCTATCTACCTATGCTTTAACTGCTGTCTAGAAACAGTAGCAATTTTGGATAGCATTAGCACATACTACTAAGAAGTTTAAGAGTACTCATAGTAGTATCTAGATTCATTCTGAGCTCCATAAATCTCAGAGTAGTCTTTGCTACTCTCAAATTTGGAAGCCACTGCTAATTGTTCCAGATTTAGACAATTATTGTCAACCACCAGTCCTTGCTTGCCTCCAGACACGTATTTCATCTTGAATAAAACTCATCTAACACAGAGTCTTACAGTTGTCCTGTGTGCTCCTCTTGCACAAGCTGTCCGTGCTCTCCATTACTCTTATGCTGCTTCACAAGCAGCTGCCAAAACTATTGGAAAAGCTGTTTAATACTGCCAGTAGACGTTATACTCAAACCATCTGCAGATAAACACCAAATACATCACACAGACAGTTCCGTGGCTGCAACAGCCATTTTCCATGCTGACTAGATACAAGTTGAAAGAAAGCAATATTTGCTAGCAAAAATACATACTTGGAATAGTAAGAAGTCAATGAAAATTGTGTAATTTGGCCTCAGATTGCAGAATTCCTATTGATCCCTGCAGATTTCCAGTTTGCTAAACTCTGCCATAGCAGGGCATCCAGTAGCAGGGTAAAGAGACCAAGATCTGTTATCTTGTTTTCAGTATACAAACGTATGCTATTATGGAAATAGCATAACCAATTATGAATAATCTATAGAAGGAAAATTGTTCACTTAAAAGCCGTGTACAACATCCAGTGATTTCACTTAGGGAAATAAATTATTTCAAGCCATAAGTCATTTGCCAAATGAATTATTCACTATGAATTGTTCACCCCCTAGTAGTCAAGGGCTAATCTGCTGTTCCTCCAAAGACCAAGCCAGTTAAAAGAATGCAAACTAATCTGGAAATTGTAATAATCATTGATCCATCTCTCTGGTATGTATAACAATGCAACTTGGTACTATTTCCTGTTTCTTTTCAAAGCCTATATTCATTCATTTGCTGAAGATCAAATCTAGAAAGTGGAAACACTCAAAAGAAAGTAACAAGGAGAAAGGAGAAAAGGTTCTTCTCTTGCAACAAAGAGCAGTATTCTTCCTAAACAGAATTCACTCTAAACAGTTTATGCTCTTATACTTTTGTTATGGTATTATAATCCTCTTCGCTCTCTCAGTTATTCACTCAGATCACTTACACAGCTTAAATTCCCTAGGTACTATATTGAACAAGTATTCTTTCTCAAGATTTTCAGTGAAGGAATTTGATATCTGCTTGGTTTGGTTTAATTTCACTTTCACTTGGAGATGTAATTTGGGAGGCTGCTGCAAGACAAGCAAAAACTAGTGTCTGAAGGTAGTTATTCCAAGCCTTTCCAAGGAGAAAGATCCCTGAGGCAATAGCATACTTGTTAAAATGATGCTGAATGTTTCTTATGAAATCCAACCAGAAATACAGTAGAGTAAATGATTTAAGCATGCATGGTAAGGTAGTAACCTTGCATTGGAACTGGAATCTGGATTAGTAGATTTGTTTTGGTTCTTATTCTCTATTATTCTGTACTTAACTATATGGGTCTGGAGAATTGTACCCTAGCTGTAATATATTTATCATTCCTCATTTCTATTCGCTGCTACAGTGCCCTCATCTGCTTTATGTTCTTTACTTTTATGTGTAATATATTTGTCTCCAGGCATATCCTCTAACTTAATCCAATTAGTGATTCCTAAATTCCTTTGTTTCTATTTGTCCTATCTCCCAAATTACGTCTATTTATCTCAAGTTCCTGTTTTGTTTTCCCCTCTGCTATCCCTTTTCATGTACTGTAACAGATCTCAGTGGGAAACTAACCTCCTAGCACACAAAAATATTCATGATTCCAAAAGCTTTCCTTCTCCATTGAAAGGAAAATAAAGGCCAAATTCTCAAATCTTTTGCAACTTGAAAGTATCAACAGGAAACATACTTTACCAGGATATTTCACTTTTAAAATTCTCATTTCATTGCTGATATTACTATAAAATAAACACATTTCAAAACAATTTTTTCAACAATAAAGAAAAACTAAAATCTTAATTTGGAAAATGGCAAAGTGTATTGTTTCCACCATTTAAAAACTTTTTCAAAACTATTTTAAGCCAGGAAATGAATCAAAAAGGACCTCCCACAAGCAGTTTAAGTTCAGTCTTGTCAATGTTTTCCAACTAAAAATGGTTTAATTAAAAGTTACTCTGATCTACTCTATCTTGTACATTATTGATAATGTTTTGATATGTAGTTCCTCTTTAGTAATTTTTTCAGTTTGACTGTTCCAAACGCTTCATATTAAAAACTTCATATTAAAAATATATTAGAGCACAAAGTGAATCTTATATTAGGTTTCTAAAGGCATCATTTCACCAAGATCAGGTGATGTTCAAATAGTCCAATATTTTCAAACCTTATCTCTCACACTAAAGACAACAAGCTCTATGCTTAAAAAATCTTGAGAAACAAGACAAGATTCATTCTTTATCACAGTTCACATCCCAAGTTGGTCAAAGCTTAACTGGTTAACACTAGCGCTTTGATTAAATTGAAGCTTAGCTCTACAACCTCTGTTCTTCTGAAAATTAGATTCTACAAAGGGATC